GTGTGTGTGTGTGTGTGTGTGTGTGTGTGTGTGTGTGTGTGTGTGTGTGTGTGTGTGTGTCATATTTGAATTAAACTTCATCTGAGAACTCTGGCAGAAGGAAAAATAAGGGTGAAAGTGGACAAAATTTGTATTTTTGTCTATACCCTTTAACATTAACCAGTACCAGACTTCTTCTGCCCTTCTGCTTGTGAGTTTTCCACAAATAAGTGCAGTTTTTCTCTCAAGAGAAGTCATTAGTCAGACACTGGCATGAAAATGACAGCCACTGTTGTCCCCTGCCAGCTAGACTCATGACAGTCTAGAGAACAGACTGTGACCCGCTCTGGCTTTCCTAGGGCACTTGACTCGAGACATTTGAAAGGAAAATTCCAGTGTCCTGCTGAGAATGCCGGACTCTTTGAGAAACAGCTAAAGCTACAGTGAATCTGGATTCAAGGACTCATCTGATGATTTTTTGACCGGCTTGCATTATTAAATGCCTACTATTTGTTATAGAGACAAATCTAATTGAGATTTACCATTATTTTTAAGTTCCTGTCAGCACTTATTGAAACTGATTATTAATCTGGGCAAAGCAGTGAAATAATAAATATTATATGCATAGAGTGGACTTCTGAAATGTCTTTCATTATTCTGAATGAGAAATTATTTATTTATTTAGTAATAAATTATGAAATATAATAATCATATAATATAATAATCAAATGCAGAAATCAGACCTTAAAGTGATAAATAATTCCTGTTTCTTTCTCTCTCTCTCTTAGAATCATGAGTTTGTAGATGAGCAAACTTATGAGACAAGCTGTATGGAGGTTTCCCTAGCGAAGCCATCCATGTCCCGTTCCTCCTCGCTGTCCTCCTCTCCACACGGCCTGTCCTCCTGCTGCACACGCAGAAACAAGCGCAAGAGCTTCAATGTCCCCAATTCATACATGGCTGATGGCCGCAGGGGCAGCATACAGGAGCTCAGCACCATCCAGATCAGAGAGAGACCAATGAGCAACAGGTGCTCTCACAGCACTCATGCACACTTACACACACATAAGGAGAAGGAATATGTTGATATATTGGCTGCGGTCTGAATATAGATGAGTCAGAGCTGTGTCTTATTTAGAAGTGTTTATAATACTGACTATATTAAGAAGGTGAGTTTTTCCAGAGGGGTTTGGAGTAGGGGTTTGTGTAGTGCTTATAATCTAGAATGTATTTGTAATATTAAGTGTATAATGCATAGTATACAATACTTAGTACAAAGAACGTAGAATGCATATTGGAGAATAGATTTAGTATGCATATGTGGGATACATTGTGTAATGCATAATATGCAGTATGTAGTGCATGTTATTTAGGATGCAAATGTAAAAGTTAAGTATGTAGTGCATAGTATTTTGCATGCATACATAAAATCCAGTAATTGTGTGTAGTGCATGTAATCAAGAATGCATATATAGAATATAGTGTATAATGCATACTGTGCAGCATAATGTAATTTGCACATGTATAATGAATAGTACGGAATATCTAGTGCATAATATGTAGATTACGTGTAATGAATACTGTAAATACTGCACATTATGCATTACACATTTTATTCTGTATAGTATGCATAATTAATCAATGCGCTAATATGCATTCTCCGTCTACATACATGTGCAAACTACATCATATGCACTACATCCTGCATAGTATGTATTATACACCATATTCTACATAGATTGCATGCACTGCACACTATGCACTACATACTATGCAGTATGTAGTACATTGTAGTTTGTATCTAAATACATGGAATATAGTGTGTAATGCATAGTGTGTAGTGTATAAAGTTTAGAATGCAGTGTATAGTGCATAATATCTAGTATATATGACGAATGCAAAGTATTAGTGAACATATGTAAAATATAATGTGCCGTGCATATAATCTAGAATGCATAAATAGAATTAAGTGTATAATGCATATGTAGTATTAGAGCATATTAGAGCAGTGTTTCCCAACCTTTTTTCTGCCGAGGCACAGTTTTGATAGGTAAAAAATCCCACGTCACACCACTAAGCACTACAAAAAAAAAAATTGGAAGGGGGAAAGTTTTTTTTCTTCCCAAATAATTAAACAATGCATCATCAGAGTTGGTATTTTGGCTTTATATATGATCAGACACTTGCACTTAACGTTTTCTGGAAATCATGCTCAAACGGAGTTAACAAGGTTTTTGACGTGCGAATGATGGAGATCTGTGTTTTGTCCATCATTAGAACGGCCACATCTGAGACAGAAAATTAATTGTTTTATCAATTTACAAGTTATAAAGTTTATTGTATCTATATGGGAACTCAGTTTAATATATTTGGCCAAAATTTCATGATATAAAAGATAAACCACTTTGCACAGGATATTTGAAACGTACAAAAGTGTATTGGCTACAACTAACTTAGACGGCAAATGCTAAGACTCTTCTCTGATCTTCAAACACACAAAAACATTAGCCTTTATAGACAGTGTTTCTTGAGTAAAGAAAATGTTGCTCTTTTTCAAACATCAGTTCTTTATTTACCCTTGCATTGCGAAGAAGTAGATGCCTGTATTCAAACTGCGCATCGCGGCGCTTTATTCTGAATGGAGGTGGGGTGGAGTTATGAGGTTTGGCTGACAATTTGAGGATCCAATGGCGTTACGAGGTTTAGTCACATGCTCCTTCGAATGCTTTTCATTGGTTAAATATTTGTAAAACCCACAAATAGACATGACAATGACCAATTGCACTGATTTAAAATAAGAATAACGAAGTATAATAGCGATAGGAAGTTTTTGATAATTTTCCACGGCATACCCAACAACCTGTCCAGGCACACTAGTGTGCTGCGGCACAGTGGTTGAGAAGCACAGAATTACTATGCATAATGTTTAGTATGCAGTGTATAGAATTTAGTATTCATAATATGTAAAATACAGTATGTGAAGCATAGAGTGTAATGCATATAGAAAGCAGTGTATAGTGTAGGATGCATAATAAGTCCTGTTTAACACATAGTATGTAAAGTGTGGTGTGTTTTATGCAGGTTCTCTGTATATCTGGGTATTTGGGTTGTTCTCATAGTGATTCATGCTGCTGGAATCCTGTAAAGCTCTGGTTGTGACACTCCCCCCCTCATGCCAGCATACTCTGGGAACGCTATCATGATCCCTCCAACAGCTGGCGGAATTTGCCCATCAGCTGGATTGTATTCTCACCCGCCCTCTCTCTCCCTCTCTTTTCCAACACAGCCGCTCCTGTCTCAATGCCAAGTTTGAGGAGACAGTACCCCTGAAATCGGAAGAGCAGTCCTACATCACTGCCGCTGTCATCAGCATGCCCACCCCACCTGTGACCACGCCTGAGGGCGGAGACTCGGCCAGCTCGCCCAACTTCTTGCAAAGCAACATTGTCCGGGTGTCGGCATTATAGACCGTCCGTCGTGACCATTAGCCATTTTATTTAGCGAGTGGACGCTGGAGCGGAAAGGATCGATGGAACCCCCTAGTGTAGTGGAGGAGGCATTGCAGCAGGATAGCTGAACCTTTTTTTTTAATCGGCTCCCGCCCAGAGCTCTCCGACTCTGTGAGCTCCATCAGCTCCACCTCTAGGCCCATACGTCATGTGACTCACGCTGGGGTCCAATAGGCTTTCACTCAACCCATAGAGGAAAACAATGACCATTGTGGTTGTTACAGCTTCTATCATTTTTCAGTATTGTGAGTCTTTGAATCTGTTGTCTTCAATCTGATGGGATCGCCAGATTTTGGGACGAATAAGGAGTGTACCAGCAGGGGCGGGATTTTACAAACTTTTAGACAGCTATACACACACTTTTGATACTTCTTTGAGTAAAGCAGGGCTCTACTAGGGTGTGCGGTCGGATAATTTTGCGTGTGTGTGTGTGTGAGATCGAGACCGATCTCTTGCATGTTTTGCGTAAGTCTTTGTCATTTTTCAATTCGGCATGAGCAATAAGGATTGGCTCTTTCTGTCAGAATGTGTGCTTTTTACTTTTGCCTAGTTATAGATCTTTCCAACCCAACAAGTGTGTGAAAACAGCTGTTCTGAGAGACTGACCGGTTGATACAGGTGATAAATGGAGAAAATCCTGTCTCACACTCTCTCTGTCCTACCCATGTTGCGTTCACTCCTTGCCTGGCCTGATGAGATGTTTGTTATCCTTTTTGTTTTTTTGGTGGCAAAAAGCTAAACGGAAAAGGAAACGCCTTTTGTGTTTTACTATATTTGACTTTCTCAATCTGACAGTGGAGGCTTGTGGACTTGAGCTCTAATACTAGCCATTCCGTTTTATACTCCAAAGTTTGCGAGTTAACTGTGAAAAGAAAAATATCGTGCTTATTTATTATCTTCGTTAAAATTATTGTGCATGTTGTCGTACACATGGTGAAACGGGCCAGCGTGAACCAGAGCACAGAGCCCGTCCAGGACATTTTTTTGAAGTTCTTTCTTTTTCATCCCTCCCTTTAAAGATGTACTTTTATAAGCAAACATTCTAAAGTCTGTCTATTATTTCTGGATAATGGCATCAAGTTGAGAATCATCCAGTCAGATTCTTAGTACTGTTTTGGAGATTATTATATCATTGTGATCAGCCGAACACGCTTAGTGTTGAACTTAAAACGTGAATCTCACAAAGTTACGTTCAGGTTTATTTCACTCCAAAATCAAAAGAGAATAAATTATACTTTGCTTGTTTTAAAAATAATAATAAAAACATTTTAATGATAATTAAGCACACTCCACTCCATGCAAATTCTCATTACCATAATCTTTCTTGTATTCTCATTCTCAATGGTGATTTTCATTACTGTAATACAGTATTTTAAAAGCAAATATATAATGCTTCAAATTATTGTAAAAATACTTCAGAAATGTAAATTGTAATGAAAATTGTATTGTACAGTAATGACAGTTTTGGGGGTGTCGTGCTTAATTGTCATGAAAATAATGCACAAAATCTGTCTAGACTTTATGTAAGCAAAATATAATTTCTTTTGATTTTGGAGAGAAACTTGTCTGTGAGATTCTTCCAAAACGTGTTATTATTAATCAAAAAGTGTTAAAAAAAAAATCTCTGCACCTGAAAGATTAAATCTCTCTTCTCTGCCATTTAATGTCTGGAATTAACAAGAAAATAGTCTATAATGTTGATATTTTTTTATACCGATGTCAGTGCAATTTGTGGCGAGGAGCTCTTAATGCGCCTTGCTCAATACACACACACACACACCACTGCCCTCCTGCTCAATGCCTGCACCAATTCTTGCTTTACCATGTGACTTATGCAGCAATTCTTTTTGTAAAGATATGCTTTGTATTAAAAGGGTTACCCGGGGAATAGAATCTCACAAATGCATATTTTTAAAACTCAAATGGTGTTGATTATATATTATAAATGTATTTCAGTTGTAAAATACAAAAAAGAAAAGATGAAAACAAAAAACTATGAGAGAGTGTTGCTAGTGCACCTGTGTTGTAAATTTGTTCTTCGGTGTAGTGAAATTTATTAGTTTCTTCTTTTCTCCTAATTTCAATGGACAGAGAATTTAATGTCTCACATTTTACTTTCTAAATCAACAACCGCAAAGGCTGGACCATCTGTTTAGGTTTGGAGATTTTATTTTTTTCCTGTTTGGAGGACAGGATTGACAGAGTGTATGCGCTCACAGACTCTGAGAACTTGTTTTTTTTTTCGGGATCCACAAGGGACTTTTAAAGCAGACTTCCTGTTTGTGATATAATGTGCATTTAAATGACTACCAGGTGATGACGGTCCTTTGGAATTTGTTACAGCTTGTGTTATGGACATTAAAATATATGAATTATTTAAAAACAATGAAAAAAAATAATACAAACCAGTTGTTTAGTCCGGTGCAGTGTCTATGAATAAATAGAATTAATTCATTGTCCTATTAAAATACAGATAAAAAAAGACAATGGTGTTGTGATCATTTTATTAATCCTAATTAATTATTGAAACATGTTTCCACCTTAAAATAAATAAATAATAAGGAAATTATGACTTTATCTCCAAATTACAACTTTATACATTTGCAACTGCAAGAAATAGTCATAACTGCAAGAATAAAGTCACATTGTCCAATATAACGTTACGACTGAATAAAGTTGCGGTTCAAGTTGTGGTGTTATATATCACAATGTGACTCCATATCTTGAAATTATGGTTTTATTTTGCAATTATGTCACAGTGTGACTATTTTGAACTCACAATTACCCTTTTCTACATTTATACTTTAGATGGAAGCAGGCTTCCAGTCATTTTAAAGACCTCGTGAAACCCATTTATGTTGTGTCTGCTAGCTTCGTTAGCATTTATATGCTAGCATACTGCTGAAAATGTAAAATGTACAGTCTGACTCTGTAAAATCTTGATTGCACATATAAATTTTAACAGTAACTGTGTGGACATTTTTGAGCTAAGCTATCACACCAAAAATTACCTAATAGTTAGGTTTAGGGGGTTGTTCAAAGTTCTTACCGTAACTAGAAACAATAGTAATAGCAAGTCAGCAAGGCTTTACTCTCTTCCATTACTAGCTGGGCATCAATTTCTTCAGGGGCCTCTTTCCCATTTTTCAGATTTCACACATTTCTCAGGCGGCATGTTTAAAGGGACCGACTTTAATAGAGGCAACGGTCTCAACCTCTATAGGCACTTAGCAGGATTACGTTACACATGAGCGTCCTACATGCGATGACCGCTCAGTTCCTCCTTTATACACAGGAATCGAGGGATGAGGAGGGCCGGAAGGCAAGGGATTGCACCTATTTTTGAGCTTGTTCAGAACAAGCCAACTGCAGGGCTGTGGTGAGCTCCCAGCAGGCGAGCGATAGTGCTACGCATTAGCATATTTCCCATCACGCCGAGGGTAATTGAGACGTTTGAAGTCGGTTGTAGGAAGAGACCGTATCTGAGAGACGCAGAAGGAGGGGGACCTCGCCGCACACAGGGGGATATTGAAGTTGGACTTCATACAAGCTGCAGCTGTCTTCTCCGCAGCTATTTTTGCGGAGAGGTGAAAGGTTAATGGTTTTATTTCCCCGTTGACTCATTTTACTGTACTCCGCGAAAGGAAAGAGGGAGCGAGACTGTCTATATGATAGTACAGTCCGTGCGAAACACTCTGTACATCTGCACCCACGCTAAACAGCGAATGACACAAAGTCGACCGATCTCAATTGGTGTCTTTGGCTGGAAAGAACCACAGTTTGCGAACACACAGCTAACGAGATATAAGGCTAGCTTTACGCTATCTGTCAGTCTCTCTCTCACACAGGAGATGAATAGAGAGTGGGGGGTGTTAGCCACAAGAGAGGAAACAGTATGTCTTTTGTAAGCTTGTGTGACGGCAATCCTGTGTGCTCCTCTCTGATTCATAAATTAGATCCTCCACCGGCAATGAGTGGTGGGGGAAAGAGGAAGCTGACAGAAGCATTTCTAGCTCTCCACAAGCTATGTTTGAATTAGCATGCTGTAGCAAACTCTGTGAGTGAGTGGAATTAATTTGTTGGCTAAAGCTGACTTGCTAATGTTATTTTATTGAACGCCCAAAATGGTTTGCCAAGATTAATTCTGTCTTCGAGTGCAACTGGCAAACTCGTACCTCAGAGTCGGATGTTCATTATTTTGACGTCACGCATTCAATTTGGAAACATGACGAGGAAGTAAGTAGCCTAAACAAAAGAATTATATTGTGAGCATTAAACCCAGATAACTACATTGGAATTCAAAATAATTTAAAAAAAAATTTCATCACGCATGATATCACAACTAAAAGTTTTTGTTACAAAAAGCAAAGCTTGAAATTCAAGTGATTAACTTTAGACCATTTGCTACAGAATAGATTTTTGCTCACTGATCTCTCTATATATTGTATTTTCTATATTACAGATCAGTGTTTCAAATTGAGATTCAATATTGCAATCTACAATTTCGAGTTTCGCACGAACTTGCAATTACTATATTTATGACTTGACTTTTCACTTTTCACTCATTCACTAATCAATTTCTAATGGATAAAATCAAGCCCCTCCCACATTATTTCTTATTGACTATGCTGTTTTATGTCCAATTATGGAAGTATGAGTCACGAATACTGTTCAATTTAAGACATTTATATTAAAAAAACTTAGTAAGATCTTGTGAAAGAAAGTCATGATGCTACTGCTTGAAATGTTTAGTGTTGCAATGATGCATTACTATGAAGAATACAGTGCAATATACAGTATTCTAGTGGTCTATTCAAACATAGCTTGTGTCTTTTTCCATGTGTCTACTTCCTTCCTCTCTCAGTGCACTATCCATTGAGATGTTTTATTCATTGCTTTACATCTGTTAAAATTCATGAAGCAGGCCAGAGCTAAATCCCTTCGCTTTCCCTCAGCCAAGGATGTCTCCCATCAAGTCCAGAGCGGGGCCAAAAATTCCACCCGTGTTTCCACCCAATAGCACTTAAGCGTGACACCTCTGGAATGCTCACACTTACAAAAAGAGCGCTCTGCAGAAAATCAGCTTGATTCAGAGGAAGTGACTGCGTGGTAAGAAAACCAGGCTCCACTGCATGCCTCAATTGTTTGAAATGCAGCGTTATGGTTGTTGCTGGGCATGAAATTGGTGAATTATCTGTCAGATACATGTTAGTGAAATATGCTGGACCTTGCAGTTATGACAAATGTTTGGCTACTCATAAGGAATTTTAGGCCTTTAAAATGTAACAGTTTTTTGAGTTAGCACAATAGAATGGTTGTTTGGAAACGTTACGAAACATGAAATCATAATTGACTGTTTTTACTTTCCTAATGCATGTGTCAAGTCATATTTTGAGTGATTCATCAATGCACATTATTCCAAAGGGAAAAAATTAAAATTTAAAAAAAATATTTAAATTGCCCGTTATTAAAAAAAACACATTTAAAATGCGTGTGTCTCGTAGGCGGAGTTTCACTTTTATGCGTGGGGGGGGGCACCCACACATGTAGAATGTAAAAATTCTACATTTCATGTATTTATGTAACATATTCTACATTAAAAAAAATAATTTAGAATGAACAATAACTGCTGTACAAAGAGTAAAAAAACATACCTAATGCAGAAAAGACGCCTCTTTTTCCGAATTGCTATCTTTCTTTCATCTCTTCTGATACATTTTCAGTCAAATTGTTCTCTGTGTGCTAGATCAGAGCCAGTTTCTTATTCTCCTCATAACTGAGAAACTTATGATTTCTGATGAAGCCGAACCAATGGGCAGCGTGAGTGCAAGTTGCAGTAGTCTGAAAAAGTTTGGATATTTGTCCTTCCGTACTTCATCTTTAAGTTTCTCAAGAGTGATTGGCGATGTGATCGCACATTTCACAAGATCCATTTCAGCTGTCACAAGCACTGTTGCCAACTCTCGCGAGACAAATAAGCAACCGCAGCTTCAAAAACAAGCCCAATATTTTTTGATAATTTATTATCAATATTATTTATCAATTATTTATTACCAATAAATGAGCCCGCAACATATTAAACTGAAACTACCCTTTTATCTGAAAAGCAAAAACATAAGTTATTTTACAAAAAAACAGCAAACTGCAACAAAGCAGGAACAAAACTTATCTCCAATCACCTGTTAGCAGAATAGGATTAGAGAGATTGAAAAGGAGAAAAACACAAGAGCTTCAAAGGGGAGCTGGAACATAGCCACATATTTATAGCCTACTAAAATATTGGCTATTCGAATCAAATATACTCTTAGTATTAGTATAGGCCTACTTGTTTTTTTATTACAGCCCGTGATAATTAATACATTACAAAAACATTGTAAAAATTAAAAATCAGGCTACCTTATAAAGGGCGCCTAAAAAGAAGGCGCGTGAGGAGAGGGCGGAATATTTGACAAATTACACTACAGCACTTATATTTTTGCACTGATTGGCTATTAACTGTGAGCAGACAGTGTCAATCAATGCATTGGAGAATACAGTGAACATAAATGAAAAGAAACGAAGTATATAAAAACCATATTTTTTAAAATAAGCCCAAAAACCCGCAACCCACGACCTGGGATTTTTTTCACGCAACTTTACAAAAAAAGAAGCCCAAAGTTGCGTATAATACGCGGACTTGGCAACTGTGGTCACAAGCTGAGGTTGAATCTTAAGGCTTGCGTACATGGCGTACATTCTCACAACTGAATACTGCATCACACGCCACACTTGAGGCCAACGCTTCATGTGAAAATCACCTGTCCAATTCAGCCAGCAGTGATCAGTCCACCACATTTTTATTTGCGAGTTTATTAAAAAATACAACGAATTTCCATTTAGTTAACTTGCTAAAGCGGGAAAATAATGAAAAGAGAGTCCTCTCATGTAGCTTATCGCGACGACAAGTTAAGAATCATGAGTCGCGGCTCGCGAGGGTGGGGCTTAAATATCATAGAAATTAATTTAGCCCAAAACATACTTATTCTCTCCACTAAAATAATAAGATAATACAAATAAAAAGAGAAAATATAAATAATTTAATTTTTACATTTTACTCATAGCACAGACAAAATCATGATTGGCTCTCGTCTGGGTGGGCAGTGCCCTTTTTTTTTTTGATCCACCCTAAACCTGTTGGTGTTCAAGACCTTCCATAATTTGCTCCTTTGATTCATCCATGATAAAAATAAATGAATTCAAACTTCTAAGGGTACACGTTATGTTGGCTGAAATGTGAATTGTCTATGAACAAACACACACAGGTTTCGAGTAACACCATCTCGACGTGTTTAATGCACTGATTCACATGCAAGAGGTTTCTCAAACTTTCAGCAGAGTTTAACCCTATTATAACCTATTTTTTGTGCAGACTATTACTGCATAGAAAATTATTACTATTTTTGAGATCTAAAACACTCATTAATGCACCAGTCCATATGAATCAAATCACGGGGCTGTTAAATTAAGACATGAAAACCCACACAAATGTATCCTAGTATCTTCATAATGAGCTTTTAGCAGCAACGTCATTCATTCCAACTGAAAAATCTCATTAAGACTCAAACTTGTTTCTATGTGTGCGTGTGCGCGTGTGTGTGTGTGTGTGTGTGTGTGTGAATACACAGTATTTTTCCTGTCCTTTATGTCAGATTTCAGAATATGAACCGGTTGAGAAAAGCCAACGCAAACTGGTTTTGTTTTGCATGTCACACTGTATATCTTAGACAAAATTGTCATGAATGCTCATTTAAATGAATATGAATGTTCAAACAAACATTTAAATAGTACCACACAAACTTTTGCGCTAGTAAAGAAAACAAGTCGGAGTGTTTGAAGTCTGTCGTAGCTTGGTGAAAGAAGGAATTAGTGAATTTTTCTGAACAAACTTGAGGTAAATTGTGATCATAGTGTGAAGCGAATGTTAAAAGATTGCCAATTTTGGACTACGATAAAAGAAAACTCTTACAATTCTTGTCTCGCATGGCAAAATAGTGGCTAAAATCACCAGGTTTGCAACTATGTCAGTGTAAGTGGTGACGGGCCATTTCACTGAGAGGAAGAAAGATTTAAGCAAAAACGGTTCATTCTAGAAACCTCCCTCTGGAGAATTCAAGTCCGTAGAAACAGAGGCAATGGCTTTATTTAGGAAGAACCCAGTAAATCCACTTCATCTTCTATGTTATGACCACAAAAAGCCACTTTATCCACAGGTATATAAAGTTTTCTATAAAACTATTCACACCACCTAAATCTTGTTATCCAGGCACACAGAATTACTTCACATTCCACAAGGTCCATTTTCTGGTCCAGTTCACTGCTGTCCAATCCATTCAGTGTCATTTTTAGTGTCTCCGCAGTGTTGAAGTAGCCGATGGGTCACCATGAAGTCACTGCTAGGAAAGTTGCTCCATCTCAAACTGGGTGTGTCCATTAGCAGGCGTGTTGGCCCAGGCCTCAGGCGCTCGTGGATGTGAGTGGCTGGGCTTCTGAGCGTCTTCTGCTGGGCTGTGCGTTTGGATTAAAGCATCCGGGGATGCTGGGTCAGGTGGTTTGTGGTCGTAATAGAGGGCCCATAGGAGTGTCACAGTCAACGTCATGGCTAAGATCTGAGCCACGCCGATTGACACGCCCAAGAACCTCAACACCTGCAGCTGCTTGGTGCCACGGATAAAACTGTAGATCTTGGGTCCACAACCCTGTTGAAAACAAATTTAGTAAATGAAGTTATGTCAACCCTAGTTAATTTCTTAATGCACGTTTCTAGGTTGAATAATTCTAACAAACTAAAGGGTGGAAAATATGGTGTCATTGATTACTTTTGTCTCTCTTATTTGTGGCACATTTTTCTAAAGTTTTTATTTTTTGTTTAAATTAATATTTAATTATATATTTTAAAATGTTACTTTTTAATTACTATTTTTTAAGCTTTTTAAATATTTTTTTTTTTTATTTTATTTTAGTATTTTCTTTATTTAATTTTATATGTGTTCTTTAATTATCTTTATATCTTGGCCAGAGCACTCTTGAAAAATCAGTTTTCATTGTTTCTTTCCTGGTTTAATGAATCTCTAATAACGCTATTCCAAAGGGGAAAAACTCTTATTTTGAAACTTCTTTTCTCCTGATATCAGGCCTTGCTAGTTTTAGATACTGGTACCAGTAGTGGCTATTTAGGCACTGTTTTAGCAAATTAGCATTAGCTACATTATTAGTCTAGCCACATTATGGCACATAATAACTACTTTTCACCATTCAATCAATTCCCAATGGATAAAATTTCTCAGTTTCAGTCAGTTTCAGTCAGAAATTATTCAGATTAGACTGATGTTAATAAGTTAGGCCAGTCAAACAATGCAGAAAGCGCAAAAAGCTCAACCTTTAACCTTCTAATGTCTCACTATAGTTGTCTTTTCACATTAAACTGATATATAAGAAAGTATTTTAACAGAAAAAAAAACACTTCCGCTTTAATTAACAGGTTGTTTTCATGTAACTCTCCCCTACATTTCTGCCAGCGCAACAGCTGCCACGCTAATATGCGAGCGATGCGACACATTCATCCTCTCGCGTGCGTGCCTGTGTGTTTTGGGTATTTCCTATGCTGAATTGTGGAAGGGCAGGTAAACTATTTCCTGTTAGTGAGGGATTTATACTGTGGAGTAATTCCCCTGTCATCCACTCAGAAAGAGAGACAAAGACAAAGAGACAGGAAGTGGGTGAGGATCAGTCCTTCACTCCTGACTCTTCCTCTAGTGATCAATGTTCCTGTCTTATTCAACAAAGCCCTGCTTTCACTCTTCTGCAGTGGGATCTGTCTGAATAGCTGAGCTCTGCTGCCTGCTTTACTACAAACACACTGTGTTTATAATGTTTACACTATTATGGATAAAAAATTAGCCTCTTTTTCTGAGGCTTGAACAAAGGCAGCAGATGTATAACAGGGTTGGGCTATCTATCTATCTAGCTATCTATCTATCTATCTATCGTTTTGTGTATCTATCATTCTGTGTATCATTCTGTTGTTCTATCTATCGTTCTTTCGTTCTATCTATCGTTCTATCTTTCGTTCTGTGTATCATTTTGTTGTTCTATCTATCGTTCTGTGTATCATTTTGTTGTTCTGTCTATCTATCCATCTATCTAATCTGTCTATCTATCCATCTATCTAACTATCTATCTATATCTATCTATCTATCGTTCTGTGTATCTATCATTCTGTGTATCATTCTGTTGTTCTATCTATCGTTCTTTCGTTCTATCTATCGTTCTATCTTTCATTCTGTGTATCATTTTGTTGTTCTATCTATCGTTCTGTGTATCATTTTGTTGTTCTGTCTATCTATCCATCTATCTAACTATCTATCTATATCTATCTATCTATCGTTCTGTGTATCATTCTGTTGTTCTATCTATCTATCTATCTATCTATCTATTTATCTATCTATCATCTATCTATCGTTCTGTGTATCATGCTGTTGTTCTATCTATCTATCTATCTATCTATCTATCGTTCTGTGTATCATTCTGTTGTTCTATCTATCGTTCTTTCGTTCTATCTATCGTTCTATCTTTCATTCTGTGTATCATTTTGTTGTTCTATCTATCGTTCTGTGTATCATTTTGTTGTTCTGTCTATCTATCTATCTATCTATCTATCTATATCTATCTATCTATCGTTCTGTGTATCATTCTGTTGTTCTATCTATCGTTCTTTCGTTCTATCTATCGTTCTATCTTTCATTCTGTGTATCATTTTGTTGTTCTATCTATCGTTCTGTGTATCATTTTGTTGTTCTGTCTATCTATCTATCTATCTATCTATCTATATCTATCTATCTATCGTTCTGTGTATCATTCTGTTGTTCTATCTATCTATCTATCTATCTATCTATCTATCTATCTATCTATCTATCATCTATCTA